CTGTGTGAGTTTGGTCTTTTTGCTACGTATAGTAAAGGTGTGAGGACTTGTCAAAGTTGGTATTAATCTTTAAGTGGCATTTAGCGATCGGAAACACATTAACAGAACACAGTTTTTATGGGATACAATCACTAGTTTTATTCTAAAAGCACGACGTTTCAACAAGTATCCTCTTATCGTTATCAAGCACAATGACATTTAGTAAACTTGAGGTCAATATATACAAAATTCATAGTGAACTGAAACCATCAACATAGATTAAAGTAACAGTAACACGTTCACGAATTAGAGATTTACTAGCTTGGAGTAAGATCTTATTTGCAGCATTGGAGTTAAAAAAAACTTGTGGACACTCTAGAGGCTAAAGATAATATCCAATTGACTTTAAATTTATACACAGTGTTTAAGGTCATGGCCCATGATCACTTTGAAAAATCTTGTGTACGTTCTAGAGGCTAAAGTTAATATCCGATTGACTTTAAATGTATACACAGTGTTTAAGGTCATGAGATGATCACTTAGAAATATCTTGTGACGTTCTAGAGGCTTATGTTATCATCCGATTGACTTCAGATTTTAGTGTATCATAAATGTTTAATTACTGAAAAAAGTAAAAATATTTGACAACTCTTGTTGACTGCCCAGACGATTCAGCTGCTGTGGGTGTATGTTTCGTTGCCTGGCAACCTATGTTTATCTGATTTTTAAAAAATTTAAAATATAAGTTTATAACCCAAAGATCTTGGTTCCTTTCGATATTTGCGCACATTGGACCGTACCTTCCTGAATTATGGCCCCTGATTGTACGAAAAATCACGTTTTTTAGCTTGTGGACCCTATGGAGGTCACAATTTTATTCTGATTTAAAAAAAACAACATTTGAATATATCACTGTTAAACCTTAATGGCGGTTGAGTTCGAATCGGACCAAAACTGCCGGACAAAATGGACGTCCCTCGAATGCAAACAGTGTAAAAATATGGTATATCAAGGTTGTGGACCTTCTAGAGCCCCCTTATTTTGATCTGATTTTGATGAAACTTGAAATACATGTTGTCTGTCTGTCTGTCCGTTCGTCCATAATTCTTTATTATGTGTCTAGTGAGTGATTATCACTTATATGGTTGATGGACAACACAACCCTCTGTTTACATTTAAAGATGAACACATGTAAACATTTTGTTCGATATCAGTCTAAGTTCAAAACTAAGTCACTCCAGACTGGATAATCAAGTTTTCAATTTGATCAAACAACTTGGTCTAAACATGGACAAACCAACCAAGCGTGGAAAGAAAGGTGGTAGGAGAAAAAAATCAGTCTGTTAATCAGTTTAAAACTAACTCGGTTCACTGTGATCACAGTCCTATTAAACAGATTTCACTTCTGAAGTTTAGATTATGGAATGCACTGTGATCACAGTCCTATTAAACAGATTTGACTTCTGAAGTTTAGGTTATGGAATGCCCAATTTTTGAAAATGAATATGATATCCTCTTCTTACCGAAACATGGTTAAGGCCAGATGGTGATGATGCAAAAGTTAGGGTTATGATTCCTTTAGGCTATCAGCCTTACACTACAAGCCTTTTAAGCCAGTTAAAGGCCCGGTCCCAGTGGCCGATGGACACAAAAGGTATGGAAAAAGGACACCGTAAGGTTGGCCAACACTTTGGAAAAGATTTTTGGATGACTGTTTTATATTGTAGACTCAAGATAATGATTCCTTGAAAGACCTACATAATATACTTCAAAACTTACATCCAAGTCTATCATTTACAATGGAAGATAGCAATGAAAAGTTACCATTCTTAGATGTAATGGTAACTATAAAGCCAGAACAAATAGAAACTGATATCTACTATAAACCTACAGATTCCAAACAGTATTTAGACTACAGATCCTGCCATCCACGCCATATTAAAAATAGCATTCCATATTCACTAGCCCGTAGAATATGTACCATAGTATCAGACCCCACTATTCTAGACTTAAGACTGAGAGAATTAGAGAAACTATTAAAAGCCAGAGGGTATCCTGATAATATCATTTTGGATGCTAAAAGAAAGGCCCGTTCTTTTAACCGAGAAGATCTTCTAAAACAAAGGGAACAAGAAAACAATTTGGCAGTTTTACCTATTATAATTATATTCAACCCCTACAACCCAAATGTTTATCCAAATGTGAGAAACTATGTACAGGCGCTAGACACATGTCCAAAACTTAAACATACTCTGAAAGGTACTAAAATGATAAACAGTAAACGGCAGAGCAAAAATCTGAAACAACTGTTACCAAAAGCGCACTTTATTGATCAAAAACCTGTGTTAAATGGAAGTATCACGAAATGTAATAGGCCGAATTGCGGCACATGTTCATACATTTTGGCGGTAAATTCATTCACCTTTAGGAATAACTCAAAATTCATAATAATGGAAAATATGTCTTGCGCCTCTAGAAACCTAATATGTAATAACATGCGCTGGTTGTGGCGAAGAATATATTGGTCAAACGGGGGATGTATTGAGAGCAAGAGTCCGAGTACATAAACAACAAATTAAAACCCCATATTATAGATGTATACCCCTTAGCGCACATATAGATGAATGCGCAAAGAATTGCAATCCCCAGTTCACAATCTGTCCTATATACAAAATGCGCACAGAGAATGAAGAGCTGAGGAAAATCAAAGAACGATTCTTTATTAAGGATATACCCCTTAATTAAACTGTAACTAACATGAAATCATGTTGACGTTACATTTACTGCGTATGACGCCATGAATCACGTCCTTTGCCATTGTTAACGCTATACCATTAGCAACACATTGTAACATGCTTAAGGGTGAATCTTGCGTTTTGATTGGACGATTAGACACTGTCTATTGGACAATAACACCCCTCTAAATTAGAAAAATCCATGCGTATTAATATTATGCGTACTACTTTAATGGCGATAACCACAATGGAGACAATCAATTTTGATCTCGGTACATTAGATGAAATATTTGGAGATATGCCCGAAGATGAACTTGAAACGCCAACCCCCTTGTCAGGTAACAGCTACAAACAACAAAATATTCAAAAATCTATTACAGAAACATAAATTTTGTTTCAAAAACTACTTTTAAAAAAATGAAGTGAGAATTTTAGGTTTTTTTGTATGTCTATACTCATACGGCTACTATAGCGACCAGACGATAAGCGAGCCAAATCTAACATGAGCAGCCAGTTAACCCGCTACGTCACGACGTTTTCATTACGTCAAAATTGATTTCTTTGGTTTTTACATCACTAAAACCGGTTTGCAGTAAGATGAATTTTGAAGTTGACACAATAAAATAAGTTCTTTAAAAATTCTAAAAAATAGCATGTTACAATGTCGATAAACACCTCCTGTTTCGCATTTAGAGGGGTGTTATTGTCCAATAGACATGTCCTGAGATTTTACATGCCTGATGATCCCCGTAGTGGGTGAAAGCGCTAGCTAAGATGAAATTAGTTTTTCCTTTCTAAAAACCTCATTTTTATATATATATATATATATATATGAAAATCAAATGAATTGTAACGAATCTTATATAGATATCATATAATAATCCACATATGAAACAACACAAATGAGCTCACTGTTGTGTTGAGATGATTTATCAATATACACCAGTACTGTTTTTTTTCTGTATACCATAAACCATTACCGGACTCCAAACATTGTACACCTTATTAGGCTTCAAATGTTGTAGTCCCTTATCGGGCTCCAAATGTTAAAGGGGGTCAAATTTTTACAATTAAAGGCAATGTTACTGTTAGCCTTAAGCAAATTTATCTGACCAAGTCAGTAGCAACTGTGCATTTTTGGATTCACCATGTAATTGTTTGAAATTTGTATTATGTTCTCGAAATTGTGGCACAAAGTGGAAAGGCTTTAATAGTAAGTGCAGGAGGACCGCACTACATGCACTACTTTTAAAAAAATGAAGTGAGAATTTTAGGTTTTTTTGTATGTCTATACTCATACGGCTACTATAGCGACCAGACGATAAGCGAGCCAAATCTAACATGAGCAGCCAGTTAACCCGCTACGTCACGACGTTTTCATTACGTCAAAATTGATTTCTTTGGTTTTTACATCACTAAAACCGGTTTGCAGTAAGATGAATTTTGAAGTTGACACAATAAAATAAGTTCTTTAAAAATTCTAAAAAATAGCATGTTACAATGTCGATAAACACCTCCTGTTTCGCATTTAGAGGGGTGTTATTGTCCAATAGACATGTCCTGAGATTTTACATGCCTGATGATCCCCGTAGTGGGTGAAAGCGCTAGCTAAGATGAAATTAGTTTTTCCTTTCTAAAAACCTCATTTTTCTATATATATATATATATATATATATATATATATATATATATATGAAAATCAAATGAATTGTAACGAATCTTATATAGATATCATATAATAATCCACATATGAAACAACACAAATGAGCTCACTGTTGTGTTGAGATGATTTATCAATATACACCAGTACTGTTTTTTTTCTGTATACCATAAACCATTACCGGACTCCAAACATTGTACACCTTATTAGGCTTCAAATGTTGTAGTCCCTTATCGGGCTCCAAATGTTAAAGGGGGTCAAATTTTTACAATTAAAGGCAATGTTACTGTTAGCCTTAAGCAAATTTATCTGACCAAGTCAGTAGCAACTGTGCATTTTTGGATTCACCATGTAATTGTTTGAAATTTGTATTATGTTCTCGAAATTGTGGCACAAAGTGGAAAGGCTTTAATAGTAAGTGCAGGAGGACCGCACTACATGCAAAACAAAAATCTACAAGATAAACCTGCACCAAATAAACAAATATCAAATCAAGTTTTTATTATTTTCAATAATATCAAGAGTAGGATCAACTACAAACCAGTTTGATTAGGACACCAAACCCACCAGCTTCATCTAGCCAAAGTACAATTTTGATACTTTTTTTCATGTTTAATTCGGATCAGATGAAAAGACCAGGATCCACATATGACAGACTGTTTAAATACCCAGAGGGTTATAATAACAAATTACATCGTGATGACAGAGAACATGCTAAGTCGCAAGGATTACATGTAAATGATGAAGTAAGTTGATTTATGTTTTATCCTTATGCTACTAGTAACCAGACTTTTTGATATGCCCACACTTCTATGTGCACATATATTGACGTCGCCCCGTCTGTCGGTCCGGCGTCCAGAATTACTTATGGACGCTCTAAAGGCTAAAGTTAATATCTGATTCGCTTTAAATTTATGGCCATGAGACGAAGAGACCTGTTGATTTTCAACGATTTCTGGTAGTTACTGCCAGGGTTATGGTCCTTGATCACTTTTACAAATCTTGTGGACGCTCTAGAAGCTAAAGTTGATATCTGATTGACTTTAAATGTATACACAGTCTTTAAGGTCACCAGACAAATCCTATTGATTTTCAACGATTTCTGATAATTACTACCAGAGTTATGAGGAGCCACGGTGGCTAGGTGGTTAAGACGCTGGCTCGCTAGCCTGGAGGTCGGTTGTTCGATCCCTGCATTGGCCGAGAAAGTCCATCTGGATTTTCCGACATGGTTCCCCCTTGTCAGTGGTGCAGAACGGAGGGCCTGACAAGGACAGCTGTCTAGTCCTTCAGATGAGACGAAAAAACGAGGTCCCGTGTATAAATTGGAATGCACGTAAAAGATCCCTTGGCAGCTGGAATCCGATATAAGAGTAGGCGATAGTGCCGCTGCCCGGGCAAAATTTCCATCATAGCACACTGTATGACGTATGCCCGTCTTCATTAGCCCAGTATAGGAGCAGAACAGTAGGAGTTATGGCCCTTGATCACTTAGAAAAATCTTGTGGACACTCTATCCGATTGACTTTAAATTTATACACAGTATTTAACACTGCTGGATGCATAGTGTGTAGAACTGATCTCTGAGCTTTTACTAACTGGCATCTGTGTTAGAATATCCTCAAATCATGTAGAATAAGTAAATTGTGGTTACTATTCATGGAAACTCGTGAGAAATATACGTGTTGTCAGTAGTCGATTAAACCTGTCTGTATTTGCAATGTACGTCAGTATGCTTATAAATGGCCAGTAATAATCATAAGGTGGATATTAAAGTTAAGTGGTTAGTATTCCTTACTTGTGTCAATATGTAAAAATAACGTGAGTAATTAAACAAACGTGAGTTAATCAGAACATATCACTAGTCAGGCGTGTGCGGGAGAAACTGGCAAACGCGTGACTAATTAACAAAACGTCACTATTGGGGCTACCGTTTACTATCTGGGTGATCTTTGATCTGCATCGGTAACTGGAACCGAAGTCAGTAGAGTGTGAAATCATTAACTATATAAATTTCTGGTAGGTTTTTATATGCCATTTGTCTGCGATATCACCTCGGTGGAAGCGGACGTAAAATACAACTAACACACACACACACATTTTATATGCCCACATTTTCATGTGGATGTATATTGTCGTCGCCCCTGTCCGTCCGTCACACAATTTTTATCCGATTTTGGCGAAACTTGAAATATAGGAAATATAGGTCTATCTCCCAAAGATCTCGGTTCCTTTCGATAATGGTATGTATCGGACCATACTTTATGGTTTTTGGCCCTTGATTGTATGAAAAATCACGTTTTTAACTTGTGGACACTCTAAGAGGTCACAATTTTAACCTGATTTCGATGAAACTTGAAATGCATGTTTATAAGTAACCCAAAGATCTTGGTTCCTTTCAATAATCACACATATCGGATCGTAACTTCCTGAATTATGGCCCCTGATTGTACAAAAAGTCACATTTTTAACTTGTGGACACTCTAGAGTTCACAATTTTAACCTTATTTTTATGAAGCTTGAAATGCATGTTTATAACCCAAAGATCTTGGTTCCTTTCGATAATCACGCACATCGGATCGTAACTTCCTGAATTATGGCCCCTGATTGTACGAAAGATCACGTTTTTAGTTTGTGGTTCCTCTAGAGGTCACAATTTTTATCCGATTTAAAATCCATGTACACCCTAATGATGGTCGACTTCGAATTTCGTGAAAATCGAACCAAAACTGCCGGACGAGATGGCCACTTTTTGCATGCAAATTGTGTACAAGTATGTAATACGAAGATTTTGATGAAACTTAAAATATATCTTTATATCCCAAAGATCTCAGTACCTTTCGATATTCGTGCATTTCAGACCATAACTTCTTGGATTATGGCCCCTGATTGCAGTGGCAGATTAAGCTCCACCAAGGCCTGAGGTGGCAGTTGCTGGAGGGCCTATTTAGTTTTTAAAGTTAGAGCCAAGGTAGTAAGCTAACATTAAAAACGAGATTCGTTACTGAGGTTATCCAGGGGCCTACAATTGCGTCATAACTAGTATGACGTCTTAGACTATACTAAGCCAAAGTCGTTTGATATTGGTAATGTAACTTTATATGCCCATAAATGACTTCACGTGGATAAAATATATTATGCAAGACATAACCGAAAACTTACAAGGATTTAACGTACATTGTAGACCTACGTTTAAAAAATAAGATCAGATCTCCAAACACTAGGGCCTATTTAAAATGGCGTGGGCCTAATTAATTTCAGGTCAGGGCCTATGTTGATTCCCGTTGGGCCTAAACCCCACCCCCCTAACATTCATTGTCTATGCGTTTTTAATCGTATCAGACAAAATCTTTGGGCCTGAGGCTGCAGCATCATCAGCCTCACTGATAATCCGCTACTACTGCCTGATTGTATGAAAGAATGTGTTTTGTTTTGTTTTTTTAGCTTGTCTCTATCCATCTCTTGCAAATTGTGGGCGTATCTTGCATCGCAGCCACTGGTTTAATAAGTGATTAGTATCAGTTAAATTGTGACTTTTCCTTTATTTATAAATTATTTATTAATATTTAAGGGGAAATAATAAATTTATGCAAGTTAACTGCTGTATTGTGTAAATGACAACTGAACGGACGTATCAACCAGAAAAACGGCGCAATGTGTATTGTTATGTTATTAGGGTTTCACACTGCGTAGCCTATTGAGATTAGTAAAATTATTATTATTAAGCTTTCATATGTATTACATATGAAAGCTTATTGTTTTTGTTAAGATTATTATTAAGCTTTCATATGTATTACGAAAGCTTATTGTTTGTGTTAAGATTAATATTATTATTTTTTTTTGTGTGTATTTTCTGCAAATCGGATTTCTCAGCATCTAGCCATAGGATCTTTCTGAAACTTTGACTTACCCCCCCAAAAATGGGGTGCGAACGTTGATTAAATATATTTTCAAATCGTTTTTCGAATCCGAAATCACCGAATTTTACGAATGAATTCATTTGACCTACATTGCTATAACTTTGTAACTATTTGACCTATTTTACTAATTCTTTTTTCTTTGGGTACCTTGAAACATTTACTTCAAATCTGCAATTTCAGATTTTCGAATTTCGAAAATTCGTCGCGGTGATTTTGAACCGGAAGTTGAGATCACTTGACAACTTCTTTAATAGTGGCACGATTTTCATGAAATTTAGTATGTAAGTAGATCTTGCCGATGCGACTTGAAAAATGTCATTAGAAATTTTCTAAATTATCTCCCCTTGATGAAATTAAGGATCAAAGTTTTAAAAAAAAACGACGAAATATAGGTCAGATGCCTTTAAAATTTTTTTCTATACTAGCTACGACACTACTGATTCGTTCACGAAAAATGGAGTTTGTAGCCCAATCCGGAAGTGCCACCATCTTGAAATGTGAAATATTGCTAAGGCTATTACCGAAATTAATACATTTCAGGATAGCCTGGCTCATCGTCGAATGTTTGGTATTTGAATATTTCAAAAATTTCGCATCTGATGTTTTCCGTACCGACAAGGATATTTTCGAGTGTAGCGCATGCGCGTCACATCCCTACTTTTGTGCACACCAACTTGACGCTCACCGGGTACCTGGCCTATGGTCCAAAGCACAATTCCCAAAAATAAATTTTAGGGCCCGACCCATGGGGGTTGGTGGCAAGCGGTGGCCATTTTTCCGGGGGTACATAAAGTTAAACAAAAAATAGAGATGGAACTAGGTGTTCGATTTTAATTTTGAGACCATTTTTGGATGCCCCGAGGTCGTAATGGGGGGGGGGGGGGTAGCCGAAGTTTCGAAGAGATAAGACCATTTTCTTTAAAAAAAATCCACCATAACAACGTATTTAGCTGCTTTTGACTTTGTGCATGCGCTACGCTGGAACCAAAGGTAGCATGAGTACCAAATTCCGGCGAGGAACTTTTCACGTTGGTACCTAGGTGCCCTGAAAATTTCAAGGCGATGCCTGCATTTGTTCAAGTCGTTTGTTCTTGGCACGTTCCAATTACGGCTTCTATAAGGGGAAAAAAGTCGAATTTCGCCACGACACCGGTACCGATTGTCCGAAAACCATGACATTTGGACACAATACGCCCATTGCCATCCCGGACTCTGTGCTTTACTCCCATTTTGATACGATTAAAAAAAGAAGAGTTTTAGCAAAAAAAAAAAAAAAAAAAACGATTTTCGGAATTTAATATTAGTTTTAATTAATTTTGAAATTGCAAATGCAAAGGGATTTTATCGCCTCTTCCGTATGTGATAGGTATTAGTACTATACACATTATCCTTAAAAGACAATTTTTTAAAATAACCGGAACGATGTTTGCGACATTAAAATCCGAAATCGTCTATTTTGACCTTTTTTGACTACTGAGGCATCCTTCCGGTGGTCAAAATCTCTGGAATTTCTAGCGGTTGACTGCGCCGCGATGATATTTATCACATATTAAAAGCAGAAAATGCTCAGATATCAAGAACAATAAAAAATCTATAAAAGATGGCAATTTTTAAAGGAAAAAAAACATTGATGGTGGGGGTGGGCTTCGAATTTATTTTTAACGTTCTCGGAATCCCACACTCTTCTATTTTTAATATGTGATAGTTAGAATCCCAAGGTACATTCTGTGCCAATTTGAAGGCAATCGGACCAACGGAACGATGCCTGTGCAATGAAAATCAACCCGGTTGCTAAAATTCTTCAACACTTGTTATTGTATTATGGC